TGTCCTGAATATGGGAACCTCAGTTAAATCAATTCTCTGGGTAGTTTAGAACATGATCTAAATTAATTGGTTTCAGTAATTGGCCCTGCTGAAAAACATTTCCTGTAAGTACTATAGAAGATGCAAACAGAGAAAAAGTCAAGGAAAAAGATAATAAATTTCTTACTAGGGAGTCAGGCTGAATATCTACCACTAATGGAACCTACCCTGGCATTTTGTAGCTATATCCAAAACATATAAGATATACGCCAGACAAGATGTTTTTTCCTTGTATTCTCTTTCCTCTGTGCTTTTTACCACAACATTCTTCATGCCCTCACTATTTATTTTAATCAGATATAGCCTGCAGGTTCTTGGTCATTTTTTTTGGTCATATATTGAAAGATATTTTGGAGGAGGGAAAAAGTGTTTTAGATGGGAAAATACTTGGATTTCTGTCCAAAAGAGCTCATCCTTCCTTTATATTTAACTGAAAGTAAACGTAAATGCTTTTTTAAAGAAATAAGGAGAGGGAAGGGAGCTCACTAGAGCAGCTTGGGGAAACATCAAATAAAATCCTGGAGCACGGAGAAATTACATGAGGGCTGTTTGTGGGTAATTTTCTGAATTACGGGTACACAGGTGGCAAATAAGCAAAGACACCACACGCGGTCACTGGGCACCGCTGGGGCCGCAACACGAGAGCCAAACTTTCCCAGAACACACCTCCAAGCAGTGATTAAACCCTGGCTCCCGGTGGGGTTAAGGGGGAAAATTAATGCAGTTCTTGTTGAACATTGAAAAAATCCACCTGCCTGTGTCTTGCAGAGAGGAAGGACGAGGAGAAGGACCTGTGCAGCGGGAGGCCGGCGGACGGCATGGTGGCCCTGCCCAACGGCACCCTGGCCGTCTTCCGAGGTGAGGCTGCCCCGGACCTCCTCTTCCCTCACCGTCCCCATCCCTCTTCCTCCTGCTCCTCCTCCTTCACCTGTCCTGGCATGGCCCCCTTCCTCCTCCCCTCCCTCAACCTGTCCCGTGCCAGTCCCTCTTCTTCTTCCTTCTCCTCCTCCCTCACCTGCCCTGGCCCTCCTTCTTCTACTCTTCTCTTCCCTCCCCTGCCCCGTCCCCCTTCCTCCTTCTTCCTCACCTGCCCCTGCTCCTGCCCCATCCCTCTTCTTCTTCCTCTTTCTCCGTCACCTGCCCCGTCCCCGTCCCTCATCCTCTTCCCTCACCTGCCCCGTCCCTCTTCTTTCTCCTCCCTTACGTGCCCCTACCCCCCTTCTCCTCCTCTTCCCTCACCTGCCCTGGCCCCCTTCCTCCTTCTCTTTCGCCTGCCCCTGCTCCCGCTTCCCCTTTCCTCCTCCCCCCCTCACCTGCCCCGAGCCCGTTCCTCCTCCTCTTCCCTCACCCGTCCCGGCCGCTCGAGCCCCTCACGAAACCCGCCCGAGCCCAGCGCGCGCCCCGCCCCTCACGGTGCCGCCGGGCCCGGAGCCGCCGGAGCCGCCTCAGCCGCTGCCCCCGGGAGAGGAGGGCCGTGTCCCCGGGGCAGGTGAGGGGGGGAGGAGGAAAGGGGAAGCGGGAGCAGGGGCAGGCGAAAGAGAAGGAGGAAGGGGGCCAGGGCAGGTGAAAGAGAAGGAGGAAGGGGGCCAGGGCAGG